TAAATGAAGTGAAAATTTGAGATAATGAAAAAAATACTGGAGCTCGCATAACCCTACACATCCAAACGCAACCGTGAAGCATTTCTCACATCATTCATGCAAGAAACAACTATAAAAACGTTAATTATGATCTTTGAAGAATTAAATATGTGGAATTCATACATATTATAAGTAAAGTATAATATTATGATTTTTGTCCGTGATCGGAGGGACCTCCCGGTTCTTCTTGGCGAGATGGATATGGGGTTCACGGTTGGGGGCTGTAGTGACTACTGAGGTCAGGGTGCTGATTCCGGTTAGTGTTCGGCTGTCTGGTTGTGTTCAGCCGATTCGGGCTGGGTTGAGTGGTTGTTGTTTCCGGCGAGCTGATTCGGTGAAGCCGAGCCGTGTTCTTCACGCGATTGGAGTGCGGACCAGCTCTTCGGTTGGTCCTGGAGTGTGGGTACCCGTCTTGCTAGGCCTTATGCAGTGGCGGGCGGTTGTTTCCGTGCTCTGAAGCTGTCTTTGGAGTTGGTTTGTCTACCGTAAATCTAGATGTATCTGGCGGGGAGGTCGTGTCCTCCTTTATGTCTTTTGTGTTAGTTTTGTTGGTCTGTGTTTTCGTTAATCGTGTCGTTTTAGATTGTGTTTTTGGTCTGGGCCGTTGGCCCCTGTGAACCCGAGTGTCACCTTATTATCTCAATGGGATCCGACACTCGGGTATTACTCTGTTGGGGTCCTTTTAGTTGTTGTTAGTTGTTTTAGTTGGTTAGTTTTAGTTGCGAGTTTTCTTCTAGCGTTGCTAGCGGGACTGTAGGCGGTCTTCTGACCTGTCCTCCCACTTTTTTAGTTGTTGACTGCTGTTTATTCAGTCGTTGGCTGCTGTGTATTCGCATATTTGTGCATTTTGATTTGTAATATAATCTATCGTTTCGGAAAAAAAAAAGTAAAATATATAATCAAAATGATGTTTAAAGGTATGCAATTGGCCGATCAACTAGTTAGAAATTTGGTGAAAACATAAATATCTCAACTTTAACGCAAGAAGAAAATGATATAAATACTAATTTTATAATCCCCAGTTGTAATATTCTAAATTTCTAATAATGTTTATGGATCCGCCTTTTACCACATGGAACTTTAACATATTGACGAGTGGCGTTTTTCCTTCTTTGTATTTTCAAAATAGAAAAGTAAAAAATATCATGTTAAGAGATAAAATCAAAGTCGTCCCATTACTAAAACACAATTTAATCTTGATTAGTTTGTTTACAATTATTAAAAAAAAACCTTCAATTGTTTACGAATTAATTGTAGTGGAACAAGACCTGGGTGAGCCATACGTAAGGCTGAATTAACATATTCGAGGAGAGAAATAATAATGATTATTGTAAAGAAGGCAACACTACCCACTTAAACGTATCGGACAAAGTACAATTTAAAATATAAATAAATCTTTTACAAAATTCGACAACAAGATCAACAGCTAATGATTGTTGTAAAGCCAATTGTGGTCGCCAAAATAAATGGTAATTATTATAAGATGAAAAATATATAATATTATACACATAGGGATTATTAAAAAAGACCAATAATCTGTAAAGTCAAAATCCCACAAACACACACACACACACAAAAAGAAAAGAAAAGATAGAATTCAAATATTTTTAAGTGCAATTTTATAAGAAACTACTAAAATTTATGCATCTGAGAGTTGTGTAAATAAATTGTCCAATGTTGCACTATAGGAATGGTATCACAACATTTAGCGTAGTACCATTCATGACTTTACAATGAATTATGATGAATTTTTTATTTTATATATGTTCTTCGTAATTTAATTTGTTTTGGGATAATTATTATGTTAGAGTAACATTAAATGGCCAATAAGTTTATAATTTAATTTTCAGAAGTCGTACTAAAATTTTATCCTGGAGAAATATATTTATGTTAATTTACTATAAAATAAATTAAAACATTATAAAAAATAAAAGAATACATATTTCATTAAATTTAATAAAGCAACATAATAACTAGAATATATCATTCCAAATAGAACAAAATAAAAATAAAATAATTAAATATGTGTACCTAATTAAATTATATTTTGAAATTAAAATTTACTTAAATAATAAAATTAATATATAATATTATTTTTTAAAAAAACATAATACGAACGATTGAAAACGAAACTTAATTTTTCGTTGACAATACTTCAAAGTAGATATATAGAAAATTCGGAGATGAGTTTGTTTACCCAAATTTATTATCCTTCTTGACATTTTACCTACACACACTGGCCCATCGATGTTGGGCCGTCAATGTAACTGTTACCGGAATCCCGATTTGAATNATCATTTTTTTTTTCTTTATTTTGGTGTGTTTTTCTTTGGGTCGAGCGAGATAGCCCGATCAGCTTCGGCCTCGGTTTCGCCGGCGAGGGAGACGACGTCGGAGATGGAGGACCTGGGTTGGGAGATTCGTAGGGTTGGAGGCGGTCTAGATCGGCTGATCTCGCCGTTCTTGAAGCCGACGATATTGACAAAGGCGCGAGGATGGAATGAACGGATGACAGTGACGTTAGAGTATAAATTGGCAGCGGCAGGACGGAGCCGCGGATGTCGCCGGAGAAGATGGCCGCGATGATTATATAAGAGAGATAATCGATAAATTTCACTGGACAAAAGAATATTTTTCGTATATGTTGCGTTTATGTATAATATATTTTAGGTATATGTTTCGTATATAGAATCTGCAATTTATAGTGTTTTTTTAAGTGAAACTTTTACTTCATAATATAATAATGAGCTGAAAAACTAGTTGTATTGTTTGTTATTTTCGTGGTGGTGTATGGTTGTTAATGTATACAAATGTTTAAAAACGCAACATATACTGAAAATAAATTGTCTATATACATAATTACGAAAAATATCCAAAACAACATAGACAATGATCAACAAAAAAACAACAAATTGCTCATTTGTCAATTCTTGTCGTCAACAATAAAAACTTCTAAATACACTAAACATAAATTATTGAAAATATACTGAAAATATCCGTAATAACCATTGAAACAAATCATGTCGGATATATCCGTAAAAATCTTCTAAAATACAAAACATAAACTGTCTATAAACTGAAAATATACTGTCTATATACTACCATATACTACCTATTCGAAAGTTTCGATATATGCTCGCTACGGTACTTCAACTGTGCTTGTAAATTGCTCCAACTTTGCACTTCCTTCACCGATGATACAGTTGTTACCGGCGTCGGAGTCAGGGACCGTCTGCCTCTCCAACAACACCTTCACCAACGACGCTCGCGTTAAGCCGTCGGTCTTCCGCCTCGAGAACTCGACCTCCGATGTGCATCTTTGTCTTGAGAATTCGAGTTTCCACCGCCTTCGGTTGAGCACGCCGTCCGACGACATTTGAGACTCACGAGTCGAAAGGATCGCTGCACAAGCGTATTCGTCCTCTTCAGTTGCCGAACCGCCGGTTGTCGCGCCATTCCATCTGCAGAGTTTTATATTTCAGTTTTATATATTCAGAGGATGAAGCGTGGGTCGGTTGTGGAGTAATGAAGCGTGAAAAGTTAAATCTATTTGGTAACTAATCCCATTAAATCCGTTCTAATCTCTTTAAATTCCTCGTGTGTTTGCAAATAAAATTCATAGATTTTGTAATATGCTAAATAGTTTAATTGAGCCGTGAGAGTGTAAATACATTACTGTGGGATCGTGTGAGGGGTAATTTCCTCGAAAAAAAATGGAGGGATTTGATAACATGCTATATAGATCAAATTATCGTTTTAATGGTTCATTGATCAAATTGGTGATTGAATTGGTTGGTTTTATTTAATTTATTAATATTGTTAAAATATATGTAGTATTTTAAGTAATAAATTTTATATATAAAATATTTTACATTAAATATTTGATAATTTGAAAAATCAAATATATACAATTACTTGATATAATTATTTGTACATATACAAATTCTAAACATGTATTTATTTATATTAAAATTATATTTTTAAAAAAATAAAACTAATTTAGTAAAATAAAATAATAAAAGCAAGAATCCAATCCTTGCTGATTTTTTACAAGTGGCCTTTCTTTTCCAACTGATTTTTCTAGAAGAATCGGACCAGTCACCGACCTATTTCCTGGTCGATCCAACTTTCAAATCTATGGCATTAGTCAAAATTACGACGATAAAAATAATTAAATCTAAAGTTGATATATTTTTAAGTTACTTCTGAAACAAAATCAACATGTACACGTAAAAAATGATCGAGCAATTATATCCAACAATATTATTAGAATTTAGACTATGTTTGTTAAAATCATGGTGAAAGCAAATAAAGGCTGAACAAGAGTGTTGTGAACTTCATCATATCATTCATACAAAGTGACGGCTGAATACAATGTGATAATCTCACTGTAAAACCCTAGCAAACAAATATTTAAACTATAGGGAAAATGAACTATCTAGAATGTGGACTCTTGTTCTAATCTAAGAGAAAAAGACAAAGCAAAAAGATGCACATCTAATGGTGCAAAATGTGGCTAAACTTCAAAACCAGCTGCTTGTGAATATCCTTGAGCTACAAGTCTTGCCTTGTACGTGGAGATGAAACCATCAGAATTTCTTTTCAATTTGAATATCCACATACATCCGCTATGTTTTCTGTTTTCAGGTGGATTTGTAAGAGTCCAGGTATTATTGTCAACATTATCTGTCATTGCTTTTCTTCCATGACGTGACTGCAAAGCTTCATCAATACATGTTGGTTCCCTTTGTTCAATGCCCACCATGAAGACTCTTGGTTTGTAAATACCTGCTTTTCCTCAAATGATCATATGATATTGATTAGAGGCTCTTTCAGACCTTGAAGATGTTGATTCATGATCTGAAGAGTTGTTCAACTCAATAGGCAAATCAACATCTATGGGACTGGTGCTATGGGTAGACTGATTACTTATTGATCTGGGACTTTGTAAGGCTGTATTAGGAGAATGGTTAGGTGTTAGTTTTGATTTTATTGAGTGGTTTGAGTAGCTGACTGGTTTCTTATGTGAGAGTAGTTCGGTTTTGAATGATAGGAGGTGAGTTAACACAATGAGGTTGAAGATCATTAAGATTGTATGACCTGTCACATGTTTCCTTTGCATAAAGGGTATTCATTTTCATTAAAAAGAACATGCCTTGATTTTATGATTTTTCCTGAGGGTAATAGGATTTTGTAACCTTTGTGAGAATTGATGAAGCCTATAAAGGTTCCACCACCAGACCTTGGTTCTAATTTGTGTCTGTTAAAAGGCCTTAATAAAGGATAAGCTAAACATCCAAAAGTTTTAAATCTACTGCCATCAGGTTGGTGATTGTACAAAACATTCAAGGGACTCTTAAACTTCAAGGATTTTGTAGAGAGTGTGTTTATGATGTAGCATGAAGTAGAGAATGCATCATCTCAAAAATTTTAAAGGTAAAGAAGATTGGGAAAGAAGGGATATCCCATCTCTGTGAGGTGTCTATGTTTTCTCTCAGTTGTCCCATTTTGTTGAGGTGTGTGAGGACAAGAAACTCTATGGATGATGCCATTTTTTTGAAGAAAATGTGTAAGAGATCTGAATTCACCTCCCCAATTACTCTGAAAAGTTTTAATCTTGTGTCCAAACTGGGTTTCAACCATGGATTTGAAGTGAAGAAAAACGTCATGGACTTCTGATTTCAGTTTCAAGAAATATATCCAAGTAAATTTAGTGTATTGATCAACAAAGATAATGATGTAGGAAAGCGTACGAGTGAGACGATATTAATGAGATCGCAATCTCAAGAACATCTAAACATGATATTAAATCATCTTTTCATTCAATAATTCATAATCAACCAAGTAAAATAAACTAGAGGGAGTCCTTTATATAAGACTCGTAAACCCTATTTCTAACTTGTCCAACAAGACAAGATCTCTTACTAAATATTAAATAATAATATTAAACTCCTAACTTATTCTCCAAGATACCTATTATTAATAATAATAATAATAATAATAATAATAATAATATATACGTCTATACCAGATAACATAGTAGGAATAGCCATTTCTGGACTTAATGGGAGAAGGACCCCATAAATCTGAGTGAACTAGTTTAAGGGGAGCATTGTATTGTGTTTCAGAATCAGTAAAAGGCAACTTGTGAATCTTAAAAACATCATAAATAGAACATAAAGCATTGTCTTTATTATCATCAAAAGGCTGATTACAAGATTTTAGAACTATCTTGACTACATCAAGATTGCAATAGCCAAGCTTTTTGTGCCACAAATCTAAAACAAACCGATTCTTTACATTACTGAAATAAACTGATGGTTGGAGCAGAAAGGTGTTGCTGTTTTTGGTAGACTGAGAAGTGGAGTTTAATAGCTGAAACTGGTATAATCCTTGATTAAGTTCCCCTTGTAGTAGTACTTTCTGAGTTACATGATCCTTCACAAAACAACGAAAAGGGTGAAATTCAAAGTAAACATTGTTGTCTAAGGAAAATTTTGACACACTCAATTATTTTTCGGTGACACTGGGAACATGTAACAAATCTTTTAACAAGAAGACTCTATTGGATTGATGGTTTCTTAGATGAGATTTACCTATATGAGTGATACTTTCTCCATAGCCATTTCCCATGATCAGCTTGTTGCCTCAATTATATTCACTTGACACACTGAGATTTGCAAAATCATTTGTAACATGATTTGTTGCACCACTGTCAGGATACCATTGGTTCCTTTCACTTAAAGTTTCAGAAGGAGATAATTGTTGAGTGTGCATCATATTGGCAGATGGATTGTTGAATCCTCTTGAAGAGTTTTCAGGCTCAATTCCCATGTAGCCACCATCATATCTATCCCAACATCTTTTAGCAGTGTGTCTATTTACTCCACAAACTTGACACTGAATCTTTGGTCTTGAGAATCTTTCTCCTCTTTCTCTATTACAGCCTCTTCCACCTCTGCCTCTGAAGTTTTGGTCGAAGGGAGCTCTTCCACCTCTGTTGTTTTGTTGGTTGTTTCTCGAGAAATCATGAGCAATGACAACATTAGCCATAGGATACGACCCATCAGAGTTGACATGAGAAGTACTAAGACCAATTGCCTCTAGTTTGGATTCAAAACTTAGGAGTAAAGCTTGTAGGTCTACCATTGTCCATGGTTCAACTCTTGAAGTTACAGTCATCACAATTGGGTTATACTCTAGCCCAAGACCACTAATAAGATGCATAATTTGATCTTTTTCAGATATAAGATGACCAGCAGCAGCCAAAGCATCAAACAAGGCCTTCATCTTGCTTATGTATTATTTCATGCTTAAAGAACCCCTTTCTAGACCTTGAATTTCCATTTCATACTGCATCACTCTAGCCAAAGATTGACTATTGAAGTTTTTAAGCAAAGAGACCAAATTTCTTGAGATGAGTTCAGACCAACCATAAGAGGGAGAATGTTGTTACCTAGGGAATAGAAGATCCAAGATGCAAGAAGATGATCTTGTCTTTGCCAAGAGATGAAATCTGGGTTTTGAGTGATATGTCCAGTAGCATTTGTTGCTAAAAATCTTGATGGTGGTTGACTGGTTCTTTTAATGAATCCCTCCAAACCATAATGGCCATCTCAACTAGCTGTTTCCCCACAAGGAAGCTCCCATCATCAAGTTTCACCGTTACCAGTTGATTGTTTGGTGAGATAAGATGGAGAGAACTTGAGCTCCCTATGTTCATGGTAGAACTAGATTCGAACATTTTTTTCAAAAGAAAATAGAAAAGGATATGGATCAGAAAAAGGAATGAACCTTCTCTGATACCATGTTAAAAACCATGGTGAAAGCAAATAAAGGCTGAACAAGAGAGTTGTGAACTTCATCATATCATTCATTCAAAGTGACGGCTGAATACAATGTGATAATCTAACTATAAAACCCTAGCAAACAAATATTTAAAATATAGGGAAAATGAAATATCTAGAATGTGGACACTTGTTCTAATCTAAGAGAAAAAGACAAAGCCAAAAGATGCTCATCTAATTGTGCAAAATGTAGCTAAACCACAGCTGTCAATAGAAGCCTTAATATATGAGTTATGCAACGTGACAAAATGCTGAGAGCATGCACAACTCATGGGGCAAGGATGCAGTGAAACTGCATTAACTTCATTCAGTGATGCTTGGCATTTACCATGCTCTTTTGACTAAGATGAATGTGCCTTGAGGTGCATAACCTGATAATTTTAACAATGTTCATCTAAAGTTAACGTTTTAGGTTTTTTTTTCCTCTTCTATTTGTATCCTGAAGGTGAGGTAGGCTTATGGTTTTGGTTGTACTTAAATTAGTAGAATTGGTTTGGATTTATTTTTTTAGTTATCTATATATATACTA